GGCGGTTCCAAAAGAGAACCTCACAATGCCAGTGCGGAAAAAGGGGGCAGAATGGGAAGTAGGCTTATCTCAGAAAGGACAAGATCAATATGGGGGAGTTGCACTGAGCGGGTGGACCACGTACATTGTGTATCAACGCGCAAACGGCAGGACATTTAAGCGTGATTTGCATGAGTTCCTTTCCAAACACTACGACCCGTGTCCACAAGCAACCTTCTCAGTGATGGGGGACAGTGCAAATGGCAAAACGAGATACTTTTATGAGAATCGAAGAGCAAAAGGAAGCGGGTCTCAGATGGTTTTCACACATTGCCTTGTTGGAGCTTCAGTCTAAGAAGATCAAGGCAAACCCAATGTGGTCAGTGTTTGATGTAACGGTTGTCTTATGTTCCCCTTTTCGTAGAGGTATCCTTCAAAACTCCACTACGTTAGATTGTGGTAATTGGACGCGGGTTTAGATGGGGGCATACAATGGGGAGACTTTTAAGATAATATGGAGACATTGGAAGCATTTTATGGCAATAACCCCTCTTGGCATAAGGCTACTAGGGAGGCAGATTTATACCTCATATCCCTTAATGTGAAAGGGTTGACCACTTCGGATACGTTAAAAAGGAAAGTGGTTTTGTAACAATTTAAGAGGGTGGGAGGAAGAACATAATTTGACCTTATCTGCATTCAAGAGGCACATCTTACTAATTCTCCAACATACTCGAGCCCTTAATATGATTTGACCCTTTAAAAAAATACACTCCTTAGCATAGCGGAGTGGTTCGAGGAAGGTGGGTATATGGATCCCCCTAAGTCAAGGGCGGAGATAGTGCATTGGGCATCATATAGGGAGCAAGGTAGATTTGTCGCTGCGCTAGTAATGTTTGAAATAAAAATCATATGTGTAATTAATGTCTATGGTCCTAATGGTGTACATGAAAAAATCAATTTTTTTAAGGACATCAAGGCCAAAATTTCAAATAAAATGCGAATCATCGTGACGAAAGATTTCAATGTCGCCCCTGATAGATGGTTGGATCAATGGAAAACACCTTCTCCTTGTCCGCCATATATAGAAGAAGACGAAAATATCATTAGACGATTATATGAGGCATAAAATTTGTTTGACACATACTCTAGAATCTTCGTAGGAGAACGTTTTTTCACATGTTTACAATAAAGTGGCACACCACATCAATCCAGATCTAGGATGGACCTCATGCTTATGTCTAAAGATTTGGAGAGGGCAATGCTATGGGCTGCCATCTTCCCCAAGAGTCCTTAGTTGGGGGCGAACCACAAAATGTGAAGTGTTATTTTCTTTTCAAAAAAAAAAATGATAAAGGCGAGGGTTTTATAAACTAAACACGCCTCTTCTCTTGCATGAGTACTTCACACAGTATATCCATGATGTTTGAGATTTTTGGCACATGACAAAAAAAAATACGAGTTTTCATATCATGGTACAATAACAAGTTAGCTTTCTTAACGATGAAATGTAATGACTTTTCAAAATTATAATTGAAGAATCGATACTTACAAAAAATGCATATTCAGGAATAAATTTTCGATTGCGAACTTCAAAGACCATCCTAATGAACAATCTCATTTAACCAATATTTAAGAACTTAGGAACCAGCTATTAAATTTTGCATAATATTGTTGGCAATGACTCATGATCAAAGGAAAATTAACTATTTTTTTGTCGGAAATGCAAATGGATGAATATTTTTTAGCTTTGGTACGTGCACGAGCTAGACACACAACTATAAAGGGTTTTATGGAGTTAGGGGAATATGAAAACCGCTCCTTATCAACTTTTCTGGCTATGAGTTTTAAAATAGCAGATAATTTTTTCAAAAAATTATTTACTTCCTCTAAGGATCCAAGGAATCACCAGGGAGGATGATGCAGCTATGGAGCGTTTTGTTGCACCCCTATTCACTCCCTTACCCAGATGTAGAGAGAGCATCTAGAGAGGTCAATGACTACGGAGGAAATATGACCGACCTTACTTCAAAAGGACGAACATAAAACCGTGGGATTGATGGACTCCCCAAGGAGTTTTGAATGATTATGTGGCCTACCTTCTCGACAAATTTAATGAATTTTTTTGAATCAATGATAGAGGCAGGGCGAATGAGAGAGATGGTAGGGGAAGGTATCCTCGGTCTTCTAATTTAAAAAAAAAGACAAAAGGCCAATAAGATGATCGCCATTATGACATACATTATACACCCTTCTCACACTTGTTTATAAAGGGTAGACGCATCAAAGACAATATTCTCCTAATTAATGAAATTGTCAAACTTCCCCACCAGTTTCGACAAAACGCGTTTTTTTTTAGGTTAGATTTTGAAAAAACTTATAACCATGTGGATTGACCCTTTTTGGATGCTTTTGAGAAGATGAAGTTCAATCATATTTTACGAAGATGAGTACGAATTTTGTATTCAAATGCCACTTAGCGCCATTGGCACGTTCAGACTTGCCACTTAGTGCCATTGGCACGTTCAGACTTGAGTCTGACCTGGCATACCACCATCGCTCAAAGAAGCAGGTAAGCCAAGGTAAGTTTCATCTCTTACCTTCATCCTAACCCCCTTTCATCTCAATTGGGCCGCATGCTTCCATCCTGCCCATTTTCTTTCTTGCCTGCTCCCCATTCGTTTCCCGCTCTCCCGATTTCGTTCATCTCCTTTCCTCATACTCCGCGCACCTATGTCTCGTACTCCATCAAAACTAACGACCCTCCGGCCAAACCGACGCTCCTATTCAACTCGCAATGGCCTAGAACGTTGAAAACGTATCTTCGGTTGCCCTCTTCATTCGAGGAACGGGCGTGAACGTACTTCTTCCTTCCCCACCATCCCCGTTCCTTTTGTCTTCGTCATCCCCACACACATGTTCTTCTTACTAACTCCTAACTCACTAATTCCCTATCTAATCTAACAACGAATTCGTGGTCGCCCAGGCCAAAAACCCCTATGTAGCTTCTTTCCCCGCTCTTTTTCATCAATAAATGAGAGAGGCACATGCTTTTGACTTTCGCCATAGCTGCTCTCGCTTGTTGCCGCTTCCTACCTCGCCCTGCATGCACCTTGCGCAACATGTCCTCCATGTTCCTTCGCCCTTTTCCCAGCTTCATTTCCCCGTCTTGTTCCTTGCTGCTAGTAGCACAGTACTTGACCGTAGCGGCCCCGCAACGCCCAGCGTGGTCCGGTTAGGTTACCACAGACAATATTCCAATAAGCGACCGATTTCCGACGACTTGAATAGTCTTTCGTCCCTATACCCTGTCCTTTTCTTTCATTCTCCACCCGATGCAACCTGGGCGCTACTCCAGACACTACGAAAAGGTCCCGGCCGATAGCAGGCCATGGTAATCGAAATCCACTAAAGAGTGAGTTGTGACTCCGCCGCCGGATCAGTCAGCCTCAAGGCTGACGGCGCTTGTAGTGCGGACCTATGAACGACTGTCATGGCTATTCTGAGTCACGATAGGAAAGGGGGCGCGGGTCTGCTACCCACCCTAAAACATGGCCCAGGTGAGACAGACCCCAGTGTGGGTTGCCCTGCCCAAGCACCGTCCTACTCCTTTGGGGTCCCATCGGGCGTGCTCACACTCAAACCTCCCGCAGAAACTTGCGGTTGGTGGGCGGTACGCCAGCATAAGGCCCGTACCAGCCAGGTTTCTTCCATCTCATTGGCTAACCGCCCATCGGCTCGCCTGCACGTTGAACTCCTCGATTGCCGAGACGACGACCTCACCAACATCCCGAACACGCAAGGAACCCATAAGTCAACGAAATGGAGGCGCGTGCTCAAAGCCCTTGACCGTCGCAACGACCTCCAAATCCAGCACCGCGCCCGGTTCATAGAGCGCTGGAACGTAAAACAATAATACTACGATAATAAATACAACAATTTTTTTTGAACTTTTAATCGTTAGAATACAATGAGTGAGAAAGAAAGAAACCGCCAGTACCGTTCCAAAGCCGCCGTCGACAAAACCGAGGGGGATAGCCCCGTCGGGCCCTCAACCCCTAGGCTCCTCCTTGCCGCTCTAATACTCCCGCGCTGCCGCCGCTGGTCTCGACCCCTGAATCTCCCGAATAGAAGTCCGATACTGTAACCACTAGTGTTAGGCCCAAGGTTGGTTCTAGTTTTGGCTAACACCTAAATAAACAAATATTGCGCGATGCGCCGTTCCACCAAGACGTCTTCAAAAATCACACGGTTGTCGATGTCGTAATCTGTACGTACGCACCGGTCACAAGCAAGCACACCACGTACGAGACAAAATCTTTTTAATCCTAATTTAATCAGAAATAAAAATTTGGCCGGCGACCGCGCCGGCTCTTCAATCATCAATAAATAAAAGATCAAGCGCGCTACAAGTCCGCGCGCCCACACACTCTTTACTCTAGTTAACCATTCAGTCATCGTAAACCACAGACACAGCCGCACCTCGCGCAATATACCTAAACTTTAAACCAAACTTATTTCATGTCGCTTGCCAAACACCGACAATGGTCAAATCAGCCTACAAAATGCGCAGAACTAAACGGTAGCTGAGAGATACGATTAACGGTAGATGGGCTAGGCACCTGAATGTGGACCACACCCTCCTGTCACCAATCCAATGGTTCAAGGAAGAAAAATCTGAGCCCATGAAAATCACATCTCTACAGTGGCAACTACCACCGCTGTCTACCAACCAATGACTGGTTGACTGACCGTACAACCCTCGAACAAAGAGGTTTATTGCTCCCATGGTGCCAGCGGTGTCAAAGTCTTTTCACTTCCCACACGAAGGCGGAGACCATTGAGCATATCTTCATGCAATGTCCGATTGCCCAATTCATATGGAGATGGTGGGACCGCTTATGGCGGAAAATGGAACCCGACATTCCCTGGCCCTGGTCATGGCAAGCCATATTGGCAGCAATGGCAGGGCATTGGCCACTAGCAGGAACAACCTCGACCTTCGTAGGGAACATGTACAGATTGGGAAGGAGGGCGGTGATATGAACACTTTGGTGGCAACGATGCACCCTGGCCATGGAGAAGGTACGGGTGGAGAGGTCAGAGATTTCATAACAGATCCAGCAATAGGTTCACCTTGAACTCACACGGAAATGGTTGGACACAAAATCACAATTAGACCTCTTCAAACAAACTGGAGACGTTAGGAGACGGATCATGGCATTTTGCACAGAATGGGTAGGAGGAGAAAGAGAAGGATGGATTGCAAAAGTAAAATGGAGTGGTGACAGGGGAGAAGGGCCGCGCAATTTGGAGAAAATGAGAGACTACAGCCTCAAGGCTGACGACGCTTATAGTGCGGACCTATGCACGATAATCATCGCTATTCTGAGTCGCGATAGGAAAGGGGGCGCGGGTCTGCTACCCACCCTAAAACATGGCCCAGGTGAGACAGACCCCGGTTTGGGCTGCCCTGCCCAAGCACCGTCCTACTCCTTTAAGGTCCCAGCAGGCGTGCTCACACTCAAACCTCCCGCAGCAACTTGCGGCTGGTGGGCGGTACGCCCACATAGGGCCCGTACCAGCCAGGTTTCTTCCATCTCGTGGACTAACCGCCCATCGGCTCGCCTGCACGTTGAACTCCTCGATTGTCGCAACGGCGACCTCACCATCATCCCGAACACGCAAGGAACCCATAAGTCAACGAAATGGAGGTGCGTGTTCAAAGCCCTTGATCGTCGCAACGACCTCCAAATCCAGCATCGCGCCCGGTTCATAGAGCGCTGGAACGTAAAACAATAATGCTACGATAATAAATACTACAATTTTTTTTGAACTTTTAATCGTTAGAATACAATGAGTGAGAAAAAAAGAAACCGCCAGTACCGTTCCAAGGCCGCCGTCAACAAAACCGAGGGGGATAGCCCCGTCGGGCCCTCAACCCCTAGGCTCCTCCTTGCCGCTCTAATACTCCCGCGCTGCCGCCGCTGGTCTCCACCCCTGAATCTCCCGAATAGAAGTCGAATACTGTAACCGCTAGTGCTAGGCCCAAGGTTGGGTCTAGTTTTGACTAACACCTAAATAAACAGATATTGAGCGACGCGCCGTTCTACCGAGACGTCTTGAAAAATCACACGGTTGTCGATGTCGTCCTCTGTACGTACGCACCGGTCACAGGCCAACGCACCAAACACAAGACAAAATCTTTTTAATCCTAATTTAATCAGAAATAAAAATCTGGTCGGCGTGGATCATCAATAAACAAAACGATCAATCGCGCTACAAGTCCGCGCGCCTACACACTCTTTACTCTAGTCAGCCATTCAGTCATCGTAAACCACAGACACAGCCGCGCCTCGCGCAATATACCTAAACTTTAAACCAAACTTATTTTCTGTCACTTGCCAAAACCAAGGCGGATACCCTTGTAAGGGTATTCACACGGACAACGATCAAATCGGCCTACAAAACGCTCAAACCTAAACGATATCTGAGAGATACGATTAACGATAGATGGGCTAGGCACCTGAATGTGGACCGCACGCTCCTGTCACCAATCCAATGGTTCAAGGAACAAAAATCTAAGCCCATGAAAATCACCTCTCTACAGTGGGAAATAGCCCACCGCTGTCTACCAACCAATGACTGGTTGACTGACCGTACAACCCTCGAACAAAGAGGTATATTGCTCCCATGGTGCCAGCGGTGTCGAAGTCTATTCCTTTCCCACAAGAAGGCGGAGACCATTGATCATATCTTCATGCAATGTCCGATTGCCCAATTCATATGGAGATGGTGAGACCGCATATGGTGGAAAATGGAACCCGACATTCCTTGGCCCTGGTCATGGCAAGCCATATTGGCAGCAATGACAGGGCATTGACCACTAGCAGGAACAACCTCGACCTTCGTAGGGAACATGTACAGATTGGGAAGGAGGGCGGTGATATGGGCACTTTGGTGGCAAGGATGCACCCTGGCCATGGAGAAGGTACGGGTGGAGGGGTCAGAGCTTTCATAACAGATCTAGCAACAGGTTCACCTTGAACTCACACGAAAATGGTTGGACACAAAATCACAATTAGACCTCTTCAGACAAACTAGAGAAGTTAGGAGACGGATCATGACATTTTGCACAGAATGGGTAGGAGGAGAAAGAGAAGGATGGATTGCAAAAGTAGAATGGAGTGGTGACAGGGGAGAAGGGCTGCGCGATTTGGAAAAAATGAGAGACTACCGCCTAGTTTTCAAGGACTAGATTAACATAGAACCCTCGTTCCCATTACGCCCTCCCTCGGATTTTCCAGATCCCTTCCCACCTCACGCCCTATGTCTAGCAGACATTCTGTCCTAAATGTGATACTCTCCATTACTTCTCCTTCCCATCCTAATAGGTGCCCACATGTGGAACTCCTCCCTGGAGCCCCCTGGGGAGGACTCCGCTAATATTATCTTGTTTGTGTGTACTGTTGGGGTAGTCAAGGCTGGCAGTCTGAGTATCGTGAGTAATCTGTGTCACTGAGCAAGGTTTGGAGTGAGTAGTTCTTCTGAATAGTATCAGCCCCTAACTGCTTATCTGGCGCCCTTCTTTTGGGGGTGAAGAGATACAAAGGACAATGACAGCTCCCCAAACTCTTAAAAGACTACACCGATGGACACTATATGGGGTTTGCTCAGCCAATCCCCTGGTTTGCAGGGCAATCAATGCTGGCAAACCCCACAGCCACTGTTCTCATTTTATCTTATACATTCTCTTTTCTGCATAAGGGACGTTGGACCCATTTTCCAGCAGGTGACGCTCCCTACCAATAGATGGAGCCTCTCCCTAGGTGTTAGTGGTGTTTGCTCTTATCAGCAGCACTAACATTGGTGGGGGTGTTTTTTTCAAAAAAAAAAAAAAAAAAAAAAAAGTTTGCCCTCAAATTCCAAATCCTCTGAAACCTAAACTAGAGTTGAGTGAGCGCTTTCCTTTGCCCTCTGTTACTCACTACCGATCATAATCATCTGTCGTTATCAACTTAGCTACTGTTAGTGGCTATCACAGGGTACTGTTACTGGCTGTTATTGGCCTTTGTTGCTGCTACTGGGTGTGCTGTCCGGAATGGTAAAGCATTTTGGGGGGTAAGTATGTTCATGTCACCTTTCGGTATCGAATGGGGGAAAAAAACACGTATCGACAAAGAAAACTGCGCCCAGTTGGAAAGGGCAACGGGAGTACCGATGGCCGTGATGTCAGACCGGGTGTCATATTTACAGGGGCCGACTGTGGTGTCAGAGGGGAAAACAAAAAAAGAAAAAAAATGCCCAACGGATACTTTTGGACCGAAATTGCTCATTTCAAGTTGGTGCGTGGTTTCTTTGCCGGAACAAGTTTTTTTGGCCTTTAGGGTTTCAAAACGTGCCGCGTCCGCTTCTTATTACGACAAGTTACTGCAGTTACAGGATCACGGTCTGCATTACAGTCACTGTCAGTGGTTGTCGCTTGTGATGAGCCTTCGACTACTTCCAACAACTGGAATGTTGCCTGTTGTTATTAGTTTGTTTCAGTTGCTGCTACCCGAGGTCTAGTTCCAACCTCAAATTTTGGTCATTACTGGTGGTTGTTGTAAAAGATCACTCTCGCTTCACTGATGGTTCCTGATGGTGGTCACTTGGGGAGCTCACGGTTACTGTCTGTGGTGGACCCACCAGGATGGCAGTCCGTCAGGACGAAGACGAAGGGGTGAGGATGGAGGAGATGGAGATGGAGCCGGAAGGGACAGCGCAACTCCAATGCAGACTCAACACGCACATACTCAAAAATGTGGAGAATGAAGAATGAATGAAAACAGACTGCAGGTGGGGTATACCCCCAACAGAGTGACTGGACTGGACTGTACTGGCCTGATACTGACGGTGGTACTGGGCAGGACCGGACTGGACTGAAACAGCACACGGCCTGCGGGGTCAGGCCACGACCTAGTCCCACAGGCCGAACAAGCAAATAGCCTGATAGGCCCTGGCTGTAGGCCAGGGCAGATAGAGGCCCGATGCACGATCCTTAAACATGTAGTGGATTGCAAGAGCCATAAACACGCTATCCGCAAAAGCAATGGAACTCTGCAATGAAGAAAGCTGAGAAATCTAGGATGCAAAGCAAACTTCATGTGGAGTCCATGCGATGCAGCCTAAGCTACATAATGTCAAATAAAAAACAAATGTTTGGTATACACATCCTAACTAACAGAAGAAAATGACATGTAGCAAAATACAATCCTAAAGTCTTGGAGGCAATTGCCTCAGTGTTGAAAGGAAAAGAAAGCAATATGTCTCAAGTAATGTTATGTCGCTGAACCACTAAGAGTATGATGGTCTCAGAGGGGGTGAATGCAGCCTAAGAATCGAAACTCCTAAGGGTTGTCACACACGAAGGTGGGATAGGTCATCAGGCTCAAGGTGAGGGAGTGGTAGCGAAGCAAAACCAATGACCCTAACAGATAGACCATCAAGGTGGGTAATGCTCGACGAAAGGGTGACATAATGCATGGTCGACCATGAAAGGGGAGCCTGGAATAGAGTGGACATATGCCTAACAGAAGGCATGCAATTGTCGGCACTAGGGTGATGAGGGATGCAGTGGGTGAGGGAAACATGCACACAACTCACCGACCGGGGGAGGGAGCTAGATCTGGGAGCAAGGAAGCCAAAATAACGCTACGGTCTCAATGCCTACGCGATACCAAGAGAAAGTCCAACTCAGAGAGACCCAGCTAAGTGAGAACCAAAATGCGACACATACAAGGGAATGTACAAGGTAGGGTGGTGGCGTGGAGAAGTCTCGTCCAAAGTACTTGAAGCCGATAAGGTAGCTGAAGTCGTCGAAGTGGTCGATGAAGTGGGAGTCGAGTCGATGTCGAAGCAGAGCCGCAAAACGCGGACATTCTTAAGAAGTTGATGATGGAGTACCTGAAGATGTGAGCTAATAGGGAGAAGGTAGGTGATCAGAGTGTCGGTCGTCGAGACGCCGAGGGCGTCGACCAATGCGTTGTGGACGCGCGGAGGCGTCCCTCGGCTGCTGAAGAACGGCCTCAGAGGAAGCGGGCTCGTCCTCGGCAATCTTCTCAGCCGGAGGAGGAGGAAGAGAATCACTCGGCTAAGTAGGAGCAGATGTCTCAGCACGACGAAAACGATCATACGCACGCACCAACATCCGGGCGTGCTCCAAGTGCTCAAGGGGCTCCCAAGTAGCCTTCTCATCAAGCTACTCCTTCCAACGCACAAGGTACTTGATGCATGGAGGGGTATCCTCGGTAACTCGGCGAGATACAATGCTAGAAACAACGAACTCCTCATCACCGTCCACCCTGATAGGTGAAGAGTGCTCATAAGGACGTCCGACGAAACGCTCTGACGCTCTGCGATAAGGACGTAACAAGAGATGTGGTAAACATCGTGTACACGAGTCTG